GGTAATTCCCAATCTATCAGCTGCTGCAGCACATGTAGTCTCTATAAAGATGGATGTTACCTTCATTTATCGACAGGGTAATTTTTAAGAGTTTAGAAATTCAGGAAAAATCATCACATTTTAAAACTAGGAACTCAGTTAAAAATATTGCTAACTCCCCCACCTTTTTTTTTTTTTTGCTCCTAACTTTTCTTTTTGAATAGTCAAACATTGTGCAATCAAAGCTATATCAGAAGCCTGATTTCTGAATGGTTTTTTGACGAGGCAGCAAACGCTTGCTGTCAGGAAAGGTTTTATAAAATTAACTGGGACCTTCCTTTCCAAAGAGTATACAGTATATGTGAGTCATTGCTTGGACTGTTCACTGGGTAAAAAAAAAGTTGGAAAGGAGGAACACATCTTTCTCTCAAAACAAAAAAGGTCTTTCTCTCAAAACAGAGACAGCACATTTTGCCTCATATCTCTGGCTCTAGATGGGATGCTGGCTGATGACTTCATCCATGTAGGAAGGGCAAATTTCCTGCTTGCATTTGCTCTTGTGGCACAGAGGCAAACTGTTGGATTAACCTTTGAAGCGCATGCTGTATTAGCACATAACTGCTCAGGAGAGAGCACTGACGCCCATTCCCACCTCCATTCTTCCACTAGTCAAAATGAAGTGGGAAAAAACTTCACAGAAAAACGGAGGCTGGTATAATATGCTCATTAAGAGTGAACTGCTAAGGAAATAACTTCACTGTTCCAAGCAATCTGTAATAACTAGAGATCAAACACAACTTTGAGTTCAGCAGTGCTAGCTGTTTACCTTGTCTGGATCCTTCCTTAGTTCTGGATAAGCATCTCCCTGCAAAGGGAACATCAACTCATTACAGAAGGTTACTAGTCCAGCTCCCACTTCTCCCCGTCCTTAATTTACATTATGCAGAATCCTCTACTTCTTAAATCAGGAATCTTTTCTGTTTTTGTTAGTGTCATGTCAGGAATTACCTGATATAGCAGACTGGCAGATTACCTTCCCTCCCCTTGCCCCCAGATCTATGCAAAAATAAAATCTCTGAGAAGGATTAGTGTGAGTGACAAACAGCATTAGAAGATGTGTAGATTTATACAAATATCACCCAAGGCCTGCCAACCCTTCGTATTATTGGACAAAAATCACGTCCATGAGATGGAGGCTGTCTTTCAGTCAAGAAACATGGAATTCTGCAAACACAGCTCTTTATTCCAAGTCCTTTGACATTTCTGTTATTGGACTGTATTCTGCATATTTTCTATTCACCAGATGTGATGTGATCCATCTCATTGGAATAGTAGAACTTCTGGGTCACTTGCGATGTCCTCTGATATTGAGACCAGATGTGGGATGAGTAGGTAGTTTTAATACCTGCATAAATAAAATCCACTCTTTGACTTCGCTGTATCTCCCATACCTCTAGCAACTAACGGATTCCTCATCTGATGTCACAAGGTAGGGCCTCCTGATATGGCAACTAATGCAGTGTTAGAAAAGGAAGCTGGTTCTAAGAAGTGTCTTCCCTAAGAAATCAAATTCTCAGTTACCAGAATTTCTACCACAACAGGAACCAAACTGGCCAAGAACCCAGGTGGAGCATGGAGAACCTCAGAAGAAAATCGTACAGCTCTGCGCAAGATATGACGGAGAACAAGCCTGCAGGGAAGAAAAGTTTCAAAAAGAAATTAGCATTCTGGGTGAGTAGGTAGTTTTATTTTTTTCACAGAAGGTCTGAATATTTGCTAAAATTCCCACCAAGATTCCCTTAGTGTTTATCTTATCGGTTTCCCAACCATATACTTGGCATGCTCCGTATATCATATACTTTACGCATGTGTTTCATGTCTGCTGCAACTCACTCTTCTCCCTACTAATCTCTTGAAACCATTCAAGACTGTAACCTCCATGTCCCACCAAAGACCCTGCTTCCTCTCTCCAAGTATCCTTCTCCCTCACAATATCAGCCACAGTTTGCTCTAATCTCCTCCCATTCCCACTCCCACTCCCTCTTCCCCTCATTATTGGACTTTTTCCTTACTCAGCACCAGCCATGCCTGGGAAAACCCCATCTGCAATGCACACAGACAAGGCGCGCACGTGATCTGCCACCACTCTGTATGCCATGTTCACTCCCCCTGGGTCAGTCTCACCAACCAAGCCCTGGTAACCAGGTCCACCGCAGCCCTGAAAGATAATAGAACGCACTGCAAAAAATCACACAGGAATTCTGCATGTTGTCTTTAATTACACCAAGTTGTGCTGCTTTTCCTTATTTTCTTTAAATGTTTAAATTGAATGTTCTTTAAAAAGGACAGACCCAAAATATTTCACCAAACTCCAAATGGGCCCATTCCCCCATCTCTATATAACAGACAAAACATATTTGGTGGGCCTAATGCATTTGTAAATTCATTCAATTGCCTGTGTCCTTTCTCTTTTAACATACTTCCACCTATCTTCTGAAAAGATTCTGAGAAAAGATGTGCCTGTTTTAATAAGTCACAGACAGGTATTATGTTTACACCTCTTCTGAATTAAATCTGAAGCACTGCACAGCAATAGTGGCTAAGTTTCCTGGCCTTTAATGGAGTGGTTCTGTGCCTTATTAAACTAAGTGGATTCTAGCGTATCCTCATTATTCATGCTGGTGAACGTCAGTAAACCTCAAGATTTGGTGATGGCTGCTGCTGGGTGGAGGAGGGAGCAAGGGAATGCACAAGGAAGGGTCGGGGAGGATGCGTGAAGGTGTGAGAGAGGTATGGCGTGGGTCTGGGTGGGTGCGCGAGGGTATGTGAGAGGCACAGGTCAGGAAGGGTGTGCAAGGGTGTGTGAGGGGCATGGCATGGGTTGGGAAAGTTGTGCAAGAGTGTGAGAGTGTGAGTGAGGGTGCAAGGGAGATGCGGCAAGGCTCGGGGAGGGTGCATGGAGGTGCACGAGTGGCCTGTGCGGTGCAAGCACAGAGGGGCTGGGGGACAGTGTGCAGGTGGGGGAGACTTACCCCAGTAACTTGCGACCTTCCCTGCCAGCTTCCCCATTGACTTTCTGGGGA